GGGCACTGCTCCCTCTGCCTCCCCTTCCCGCGCCGTCCCCGTAGAGACGGTCCCGGCCGCTCACGAGCCTGCGGGCCTGCCGGTTGCGCCGCCGCCGCCGCCGCCTCGGGCCGCGCCAGAGAGGCGGTGCTGAGCGCCTGCCCCTGTGTTACAGACTGTGCCGGCGGGCCGAGCGGACGTCAGCCGCCGGCGCCCGCCGGTGAGTCGCCGCACGTGCGGCTCCGCTGCGTGTCCGCGCTCGTTAGGTTGGCCTGGCACTGTGTGCGGTATTTGGGGCCCGCGGTGGTTAACATGCGGCGGTGGGTGTGCGTCTGTTTGCTTTTGTGCGGGAGCGGGTCTCTACAACGTTGTATTGGCTGGAGGGCAATTAGTGTCCAGGGAATGTTTGCATTCGGAAAGCAGTATATTCGCCCGGTTCTGTCGAGCATCTGAGGTCCGTTCCTCACAGACAAACGCGGTCACGAGGTGCTGTGACGTCAGTGGTGTGCTACCTGTGACGTCACATTCGTAATGTTTTGCTGTGATGTGTCAGATAGCTGCCGTGGGACGGTGTTTCCCATGTAGGAACTGGTCTCAGGTTATCACGATTGGACATGTTAATGCGACTGTGTTGGCGTACGCTTGTGCGTCTTCAACGTGCCTTTATAGTATCTATATCCCCTTATTATCCTTGGTGTTAGGCTTTTTATTTGATCGATGCTATTTATGATCCCAGATGTGTAGCATCTGCCTGAATCGACATTTGTGGTTGTGGTGTGTGACAATCGACATTGGTGGTTCCAATGTCAATTGTCCAATGTGAATCTCCAATGTGGAATAGCCCCGCGGGGTGGGCACGTAACTCGCATTGAATTGAATCCTGAAATGTTGCTGAACAAAGAGTGGAGACATCGGCTGCGCACGAGTGTGCCTCGGCCGTTGCCGACGACAGCCAGTAGGCGTGCGTGTGCGTATGTGCGGTGCAGAGGCTGCGGTGCGGGACGGCGGCGGCGACCGCGCCTCGACGGCGGCGGGCTCGCGCTCCTCGCTGCGCTTCTCAGACGTGGCCGGCCTGGAGGAGGCCAAAGCGTCGCTAGCCGAGGCCGTCATCATGCCCGTCCAGTTCCCGCACCTCTTCACAGGTGAGCTCCGCTCGCCGGCCGGCCGCGCCGCCGGGCCGGTCGGCGGCCGCTGCGGTGCCGCGGCTGCCGCGGGCCGCCGCCGCCGCCGCGCCTTCCGCGCCCGGACGGTACCGCTTCGTCGAACCGGCTCTGCCACGTTGGTGCCCTGGTGTGCACGTCCAAGTTGGGCGCGAACTTCACCAGCGCGGCCGGCGAGTTCCGTCGGCGGTTTGGCGAACGCGCGTCCGAAGCGGGTGCGGCGCGTCTGCGCCTCACCCGCCGGCGGGCTGACGTGGCGCCGCCGCCGGCCGGGCCGGGCCGGGCCGGGCCACCCGGCCGCCCACAACGACCGCCGCGGGGGCGGGCGCTGTGCCGTCCCGGCTTCGCACGCCGTTGATGTATGACTGCCGCCGTGGCCCTTTTTGGGCGCGCGGGTGGTTTGCGTTAAGACCGCGGTCGGCGACGACGTTGGAGTGGATGAGGCGTGAAGACCCTAGTGAACGAGCGAATGGTCTCGCTGCCCGTTAGAGGCTGGCTTCGGTTTGTCGGGGATGGCGGCTGACATCGGATTTTGTACCCTTGCAACTTACGGAGGCTGCTTTGCGTGGTCGTTCTTGGATGCTAATTGGCTGGAATTCTATCCATGCAAGCTAACTTTACCGGCTTTGCCTTCCAAAAACATCCCCACATAGCTGCATTTCCGCGCTCAGACTCGGCCACACCACGCGTCGGGACGGAGAGCCGTGCTGGTCACCAGCAGCTGTCTCTCGGTGAGCGTGACACGGTCTGGCGGCCGCGGTAGCCGACTGAGTCGCCGCATCGTGTCCGTCAGGCGGCCGCCGGCCCTGGACCCGCATTCTGCTGTACGGGCCGCCGGGCACGGGCAAGTCCCGACTGGCGGCCGCCGTGGCCGGCGAGGCCGGCGCCACGCTCTTCCCTGTCTCGGCCGCCGACCTGCTCTCCTCCTACGTGGGCGAGACCGAGAAGTGCGTACGGCCGAATCCACGGCGCCGAGCTCGAACGTCCCGGTGACATGGTGTCGTCGCTGTTATGACTTCAACGCGCAACGAACTCGGCATGCTCGTAAGCGGGGATGCTGATCTGCAACAATGCTGCCAGTAATGCGCCCTTCCGCACCTAGCCGTTACAGATGTGGGCACGCGGTCGTGTATGATACTGGATGAGCCGCGGCCGGCAGCAGTCCCCGGAATCGGACTGTAGCGAGGCGCTCGCCGCCAGCAGGGCCGCCTGACCACCCCGCCGCCAGCAGGGACGCCTGACCACCCCGCCGCCAGCAGGGACGCCTGACCACCCCGCCGCCAGCAGGGCCGCCTGACCACCCCACTGTCGGCAGGGCCACCTGACCACCCCGCCGCCGGCAGGGACGCCTGACCACCCCACTGTCGGCAGGGCCACCTGACCACCCCACTGTCGGCAGGGCCGCCTGACCACCCCACTGTCGGCAGGGCCGCCTGACCACCCCACTGTCGGCAGGGCCACCTGACCACCCCACTGTCGGCAGGGCCACCTGACCACCCCGCCGCCAGCAGGGACGCCTGACCACCCCACTGTCGGCAGGGCCGCCTGACCACCCCGCCGCCGGCAGGGCCACCTGACCACCCCACTGTCGGCAGGGACGCCTGACCACCCCACTGTCGGCAGGGACGCCTGACCACCCCACTGTCGGCAGGGCCGTCTGACCACCCCACTGTCGGCAGGGACGCCTGACCACCCCGCCGCCAGCAGGGACGCCTGACCACCCCGCCGCCGGCAGGGCCGCCTGACCACCCCACTGTCGGCAGGGACGCCTGACCACCCCACTGTCGGCAGGGACGCCTGACCACCCCACTGTCGGCAGGGCCACCTGACCACCCCGCCGCCGGCAGGGCCACCTGACCACCCCACTGTCGGCAGGGCCGCCTGACCACCCCACTGTCGGCAGGGCCATGTCGGAGCTGTTCGCCCAGGCGGGCCGGCTGCCGGGCCGTGCCGTGGTGTTCGTCGACGAACTGGACGGGCTGTGTCGCGTGCGCTCGGGCCGCGAGGAGGAGCACACGCGCCGACTCAAGACGCACCTGCTGCAGCTGATGGACGGCCTGGTGGCCGGCCAGGCGGCGCGCACCTTCCTGCTGGCCGCCACCAACTGCCCATGGGACCTGGACCCGGCCTTCCTGCGCCGCTTCCAGAGGCGCGTCCACGTGCCGCTGCCGGACAGGTGCGCGGCGGCCGGCGCCTCGCCTGGCGCGGAGATTTCTCCGTGGGTATTCAGCCCCCGCCTGGGCGCATTGGCAGCATCGGCATAAATATGAAAAAGATAGTCTGGGGCTGTCGATCTTGCGGAAAGAAGATCCCATTTCAGTTATTTATACTCGCGCTGAATTATGGCATTCACCGAACCCTGACGGCCGCTCGGTCAATCTCGATAAGTGGTCGGCTTTCAAAAAGCTCGACTTACATCCCCTCGTCACTGCACTCTGGCACATGACACATGACGGACCGGTGGCGACGCCCCCGACCATCGGCCGACCGTGTCCCGCCTGACCCGGACGGGCGGGGTGGCGGGCCTGAGTCACGGCCAGCCCGGCCGGAGGGCGGGCCCGGGTGTCGTCGGCCCGGCCCGCTCCCGACGGTGACGGCCGCGGCCGGCCGGTCAGGCGCCGCCGTCGCAGCAGCCGGCGCCGCCCCGACAGAGCCCGCTCGCACGACGCTCGGAACGATCCGCTTTCGGCAGTGTGTGGCCGCGTCTTAGCCTGCAGGGTACTGCTCGGTCTGTGTCGTGGAGAGGACCCTGCCCAGACACTGGGGGAGACGGTCTGGTCCATCACGAGGGGACCCCGGCTAAGCAGTGCCGTACGTTGTTTGTTGGGCGCTGGCCGACACCGGCCGGGACAGCCGTTTTATCTGATCTGTGATGCACAGGTGCTGTTTGGCTGCTGTACGCAGAGCAGATATACGCATGGCCTCTCACATGCCTCGCATGACAGTGTCCGGTCCATGCTATGGCCAACAAGCCGGCGGCTGATGTCTGCCGTGACCCGCCAACGGCGTCTGACCCGTGCCGTGACCTGGATGACAGCTCCTCACCCGTGCTGTGCGCCGTAGGGTGCGTCTGCCCACCGCGACCTGCAGCGAGCCGCCCGCCATCTGCAGCGGCCCGCGGGGCGTGTGCTGACGCCGGCATGTGCCCGCAGCGCTGCCCAGAGACGGCTGATCGAGCTGCACCTGGCCGGCACGGCCACCAGCCTGACGGAGTCCGACTGGCGCGAGCTGCTGTCCGCCACCGACGGCCTCTCCGGCTCAGACCTGGCCGAGCTAACGCAGCACGCGCTCTATCAGCCCGTGCGCGAACTGGAGGCGGCGCACAGCTGGCGCCGTCTTGGCGACGGTGAGGCGACGGACGCCGCCGCGCCAGTGCCGCCGGCTCGCCGGCGTGTAGGCGCGATCGGTCCCGGTGCGCGCTCGGCGCCCGGCTGACCACGCCGGCGTGATTCCTCCCCGAGTCCGCACTGCTGGGCGGGGAGCAAGAGCGGGGGGGGGGGGGGGGGGGGGGCGTCGCCCTAGGCCTCGCTCACGTTTCCCGTTTATCAGCGACGTCCGGCCGGAGATAACTGCGCCGGCTGTCGCGCTGGTCCGTTAGCTGCCGAGACAGGCGTCAGCTGCCGGTGGATGTGGTACGCACCGCTCCACGCCGAGGTCCCCCCGCCGCCGTCCGGTCGGCGGTCTCGCGCCGCGCACGTGCGTGGGTGTGGGCCGGAGGAGGGGAGGGGCCGGCCGCGCCGCCGCTCGTCGCCGCCGGCCCTGTTGCGTCGGCACGTCTTCGAGTGGTCGCCGCCGTAACACAGCCAGCCACTCCGTCTGGATTAGCCCGTACGTCGCCGTCTCATTTGGCCGGACTGGCCGCAATTTACGGGGCGTGAAATGCAGGGACGTGACCGGCCGGGCCGGCGCCGGCTGACCCGGCTCGGGGCCGAGTGACGCCCGGCGGGCGGGCGCGAGCCGCCGCCAGGCCGCTTTAATGACCGGAGCTCGTGCTTCGCGCCGCGGCCCGGCGGCGTGTCGCCCACCCGCGCCGACTCGCCGCCGGCCGCGTGCGGATGGGGGATGCTGAGAGCGCTGGAGTCGAGGCCCCGCAGGTCTGCTGAGCCGGGACGGGTGCCTGGTGGTCACAGGCTGTACGCGCATCCCCCGCTTCTCTAACTGGCGGGCTTTCTCCGTGGTAAAAGTGGTGCTGACGGTGATAGATGCGGAGAAGCCGGCAGCCCTCCCGCCAAGGTGGCTTTTACAGCTCAACACTGAAACACGGAGTCGATTAACTGGAGATGGGTGACCTAATGCGGGGATCCTTCTGTTGGCGGTGGCCCGTCGCGCCTCTGCGGTGGCCGCCGCTGCGGCAGCACCCACCGAGAAATGTCCCTCCTCCACACCTTCATCTGCACTAACGGCCGCCTGCAGCGCTGTCAAGCCGCCATTTAGCGTTCACAAGTTAGCCCGGCAAAAAGCATGGGCAAGAAAGCACACCATGCCCGGGCGCGTCGAGCCAGTCAACACTCGAGACCGACAGCCGCGCTGTAATCTGCGGCCGGCCAGCTGCGCCCTCTGACGCCGTGCGCGGAGCCGGGCCTCCTCTCGCGGCGGCGGCGGCCGGTGCTCGCGGGCCGCTCATCGATCCGGTGTTTCGTCAGGCGGGTTGCCCCGGGGCGGTGGTGTGCGGCGCAGCCCGCTGGTGGGGCATGCCCTGCGGCGAGATGGCCGCCAACAAAAGGTGATGTAAGCGAGCTGGCTCTCAGCTGCTCGATTCCAGTCGTTTGTGAAGTCGTTAGGATGCGGGGCGGCCATGAGCCGGGGTGGATGTGTCCCAATTTATATGGCTTTCATGTCACACTTTATGGCCTTACTTGGCGTGCTGTTCATGTTGGCCTGGTGGTTTTCGGAGTCGGTTCTTCAAAGGAGCAGAGCTTGGGCTTTCCCCGTAAAAACCGAGCTTGAGCCTGAAATATGGACAACATAGCGGCAGAGATCCAGCAGCATCAGCGTTGTTACTGAAAGTGTTTCCAGTTTCCAGAAGAAATCTAAAGTTTTGTGTCCTGATGCGTCTGTTGTTTTTTCCTCGGAATTTTCCCTTTCTCTGGAGCAACGAACTCCCTTGAATTCATACCCCCAGGTGCCTCAAGATTAGGGTCAGGTGGTCAGGTCAGGTGGAACAGAACTGCTCACCCGTGTCAAAGGACCCGATGCTCTGCAAGCTGTTATGTTGTGCGCTCAACATGGGGCCATCCGGCGGCATTCACCACCCACGACCGCTTGGGAGGGGGACAGTTTCCAGAGGGGAGAGGGACAGTTTCCCTCTATCTGACCTGGTATGCGGTGCCCAATCGTGGGATCGGAAGGAATAAAACGGCAATTGACAGTTTCGGTTAGTCTTGCCAAGAACGTGCTGAGTTGGCCATCGTCACATGGCTGATGCAGTCAAAGGCCAGCATCACCCCAATCACGAATATCATCACGGAATCTCGAGCATCACGAAAATCCCTGAACGACTCCTTTGCCCCTTCATCAGCCGCAATGTTATTTGTACTGTAAGGGGCCGGCACAGGGAGAAAGAGCGTGTGCTTGAGCTCTGAAGAATCATGCATGCATTGAAGCTAATCAAACCATGCCAAGCAAACACCAGTTTAACTTTAGCATAAAACCCGGCCTTTACCCTTATCCAATGACATTGGAAATGCCAAGTCACCTAAGCAAGCATTTTCCGCTCTTGCGGCATGACAGCATATATATATATATATATATATATATATATATATATATATATATATATATGTATATGTGTATATATATATATATATATATATATATATATATATATATATACATGCTTGTTTTAATCAAAACGATCGCTAAATCTGCATAAGCAAGCTTTTGGATGCATCGTTCGAGGTTTTGCGTTCTCGACATAGCAGCATTTGTTAACATAAAGGATTATTCGTGCGCATTCACTCACATGGTCGTCGATGTCTTTACATTCTGACGTTTTGAGACCTTATCTCATCGCCGGATTTATACACCACCCAATAACTGAAGAATTGTGCAGGAGTATGTTTGTTTAGGGCCGAAGAGAAGTCATCGATAAAGATGCTTTATCAAACTTGACCCGGCAAGCCCGACAAGTTTAAATGCACCAATGTAGTGTATCAACGGAAATGCAATCTCGAAGGCTGCAAACTTTGCTTCATACACTACATTACTGTAACCAGGGCACTCTCGCAATGTCTGACGATACACGTACGCGACGGGGCACCTCTGGACCACATGCGACGCGAACACGGCGGGACATTAACACAGCAGCTGATGAACAACACTCACATTCAGGCATGCAATGGCAAAAGACGCCTTCAGATTTGAGAGAGCGCATTCATCAACGAATTTTCCCCAGCTCTGAACAAGCAGACACATTATTGCATGGCTCTTGAGTTATAAGGTGGTAAGCGGTAGCTACGGTACGCCTGATTGTGACTGTGTTTCTATATGTGTGTAGCGTTTTCGTTATGCATGCATCTTATACGCGTTCAAATAAAGATAGGAAATGTATATGTATATATATATATATATATATATATATATATATATATATATGTACGTCTGTGCGTGGGCGTGCGTGCGTGCGTGTGCGTGCGTGCGTGCGTGTGCGTGCGTGCGTGTGTGTGTGCATGTGGTGTGTGTGTGTGTGTGTGTGTGTGTGTGTGTGTGTGTGTGTGTGTGTGTGTGTGTGTGTGTGTGTGTGTGTGTGTGTGTGTGTGGTGTGTGTGTGTGTGTGTGTGTGTGTGTGTGTGTGTGTGTGTGTGTGTGCATGTGTGTGTGTGCGTGTGTGTGTGTGTGCATGTGTGCGTGGGGGGATGCTTAGGTAGAAACATAATCATAACAAGTTATGTGACTCTAGTCGACTACGCTTCGATCCGAAGTCCCACTCAAAAGTATTAAAACTGTCGTCGAGTCTTCTTTTGTCAATTTCAATAGACTTGGTAGATCCGGTGGTCGCCTTCAGGAGAGAGCCGTGGCATCTCGACAATTGTGTACTGGAGATGACCGTATTGCGAAACAACGCTTCTGTACTACTCCAGACGATAATTGCTTTCCGAAGAATTTTGCGGCAACATCCCTTCCGTGCCATCAACCCAGTCACAAAATACAGACTCTTCCAAGGTCGCGCAAAGGCGACGACGTTCCGACAGGATGGGATTCACGTAACCAAGCTGCGCTGTTGCAGAGGGCCGGTTCATGGCGTGCGAGTCGTCCCACCCGGACGCCTTCGCCTGCTCTGTGGCCGACATCCCCTTCCACGCGGTACGTACCGAGTCCCGGCCCGAGCACCGCCTGCCCTCCGGCGGGGGCGCCCACTTCTGCAGGACGATACACCGGCGGCCAGACGTCTGTCAGCGGTCCCAGCCGCCGTAGCTTGCTAGTCGGATTTGTTTTGTGCTGTTACTAGATGCTTTGTGAATATGGCGTGGCGTGCTTATGCTTTGAAGTAGTATGGTAATTGTTGATGCGAGTTAGCTGGCGGTGTTATTCGCCAGGCCACGTGCTGAGCGTGGCGACGCCGCAAAGACAGCGAGCGTCTGCCGTTTGGTAGACAGGATGCAGTTGGCGGCATAGCGTATCTAAGATAAGTGAAAGAGAACATGGGAAAGCTTGTGCGTTTTCAAGATCACTGGGGGCTGCAAACGTCTTGACTTCTCTGAGAATACGCGAATATGTGGCGAGGAATTTTGCAAACTCACCAGCCTTGTGGTGTGCAAGCCGAATAAAAAGTTGCGAAAATCTGTAAGCTTGGAAAACTACTGGCATAATGGTGGGGTGGATTATAGCGAGATTGTATTGTGACCTAGCGTGCTATTGCAATCGCTCATGGGCCGTTTTGTTTCTGTGATCAGACCGTATATCACTACCCGGCACCGAATTAGAAGATCGCGTTTGGCGTAATCACAGGGTGCCTGCTTGACACGTGTATGTACCTGCGGGGTACGTACTGTATGTACGCGTATGTACCCCGAACCTGCGGGCCCTGCAGTGACGGAATCCGAACACATGATCCTGGAGTCGGCTTTCTATCCGCGCGCATGGCTGGTTCGCGCCCAGGCGGGACGCGGCTCAGACTCGCACGGATCCCAGCGCGAGCTCAGCGAAGGTGACTCGAATGCGTACACTCGGCGCCCCAGCAGTAAACCTGAGGACTCTCATGACACGGCGTGCACCCCACATATGATGACGGCGGTGGAGCGTGCCCATCTCGTAGGTCATGGTGTGTCACTTCGTCATGACAAGATGTGTGGTAACTGCTTTCTGCATTGGTGTTAGTTGTTACCTACTCGAGTCATCTGCCCGAGTGCCGCCTATCGCGAACGAGCTTTGACAGTCTTCAGCAAGATTGCACTATACCACATTTCAGCCTGCATTGACGAGTGCTTCAACGTGGA